TCGCCGCCAGAGACCAGAGAAGAACGCGATAGTCAATAATTGCCTTTAGGGTGCAACGGATCGTTGAGCTGCACCCGAGTGCTTAAGCTCTTTCGAACGTGATCGTGTGGGGCCACCGCGTGTGCAGCACACACACACACGTAGGCACAGCACATACGTAAACAGGCGTGCATAATTGACGATCAATTGGAGAACGGAACCCGTCCCTCGCGGGAACCAGGGGAGGGTGAACAGGATATTGGAACGATGATACGCGTTGACGAGAGTGACCCGGTGGGCGGTAAGGGAGATCTCGAGCACATTTCTCGATCTACTACATACACGTATGGCTTTAACGCAGCCACAGCCAGAGCTGTGCAGCTCTGGTTCGAATGGTTGATGATGGCGAGTGATCGTGACACAAGACGGTTAAGGGAGGATTGTTCGAGAATAGGATATACATGTGTGGCTGTGTGTGTGTAGATTGTGATACGGAGTAGATCAGATGTGACGAAGGAGATGGTGTATCGAGGGGGAGAGAGAGAGAGATGAAGCGAAGATGAAGGTTCTTCTTTGGAGGATGAGAGACGCGTTGATTGTGAAGATCTAGAGGAGTAGAGGGTGTGAGGAAAAGTGTGTTTAGCTTGAACGGGAATGTTTTTTAGCTTTTGCACATGCGCGTGTGAAAATGAAGAAAACGAGGAGATCTGTTGTTAGTTGAATTAGAAATTTTTCTTCGATATTTGAGATAGATGTGAAGAAATGATTTGGTAGGTTTTTAGAGAAGGTGCAGGGGCTTCGTTGAGTTGGATAGAATGCTTTGCTAGTTTCGCTGGTGGTTCACTTTTAGTAGGTGGATTAAATGGAAAATGAGAAGACGTGTTGTTGCTTAAATTAGAAATTTTTCTTGAATATTTCAAAAAAAAAAAGATGTGAAGAAAGGATAGAATGCTCTGCTAGTTTCGTTAGCGGTTCACACTGGTGGTGATTGTTATTTTAAACGAGACGTAAAAAGAAGACTTTGTTAAGTTTGATAGAAACGCTTTAAGACAGAGATTCATCGGTGATTTCACTTCTCAAAAGACGTACAGAGAAGATTTTCCTGGCTTTCACAGAGAATATGTACAGCCTCCGTTGAGTTTAACAGAATTTCTTACTAAATTCATCGGCGATGATTACTATTTAAAAAGAAAGGTACCCAAAGAGAAGATTTCCTCAGTTTCGATAAAGAAGATATAGACTTATTAAACACTTTGCTAGATCCATCGTTGATGACTTCATTCTTTGCTGAACACAAGTGCACAGTGTTTTCAGAGCGTGATTTTTCCTCGAAATAAATGCCAGTATCTTTCGTACGTGTGAAAAAAGCGGCAAATAGAAAGGTATTCGAGACTGAAGAACATTCATAAATCAGATCAGTTCTGTGTAATCAGTTAAACGCAAAACAATTTTTCTATATTTAAAAAAGAGCACTACCTGAAGAAAACACGTTTTCTTAACCGTGGAACACGAGAAAATGTGTCGTTTCGTCAAGTTCCGATAGAACGCCTTTCCTACATTCATTCGCGGTGATTTCATTCTTTGCTGAATAGAAGCGACACGGTGCACCGTGTTTTCAGAGCGTGATTTTTCTTGAAATAAATGCAGCGATTCACTGGAATCTGGGGCGACGAGGAGGAAAGCGGGTTGTTTACCGATCGTTCCAAACGATCCAGGTTTCGACGA